CCCCAAAACCCCAAAACCCCCAAAATATTAAATCTTGTATAATAAGAAGGAAATTATTAAAATAAATAAAATTATTCTACATTTAAATCAAGTCATAAATTATAAAGCTTAGAGTTATGATGTCCTTAAATAATCTCAAGAGTATGTAATATTTCAATAAACTAAAGATTCTTGGCTACTGAAAGACAAAATGTCAGGATTTTCAAAAATAATGGATGATCTCGATCTTCTTTATTCAAAATCTCTATTGTCAATAAGATTAAGTATCATTGTCTAATCATCATAAATATGAAGATTTTTGCTCTAGGTGATAAATAATTTCCTTTGTGATTTAATTTCATTAACATGCATGTTCAATTATTGCATTTTTAAGCTATGCTTATTATACCTATCTTCATTAGGTACAAGCCTTACAAAAGGAATTAAGATTGCAAGTGCTAGTAATTAGATATATCGAAGCTTATAAATATCCACTATATTAGCTTTGGAAATATTTGTGAATTAATCGTTCAGCAAAAGTCCAACTACGTTGCTAATGTAACCTTAAACTACAATAGCCAATGATAGAAATATTCCTATTACTATTGTTTAATATTTGAGAGGAGTTAACTTTGCATAAACTTATATCATAGCTATAGTATAAAAAGCATTCATAAATGGTTCCGAGAACAATGTTGTAATTATTATAAAGAGGGGATCAGGTATCCCTACTACTGTATTTAATCTAATATTTAAGCAATAGACACCCAAAATAGAAACTATTCTTGCCAATAGATATATTTAGAGAATAGTTCTTTCATGATATTTTTAGAAGTATTTATAGTATAATACACCTCCTAAAATTTAAACTATACAACCCATAATACCTAGGATGCAAATCGTAAAATTGTTAAATTCTAAAACATCTTATTAAAATCTGAAATCAAAAGCTGAGTAACTTGGTGTCAAGAAAGCATGCATGATAACAAATAAGTTGACCAAAATTATTTCAGAGAAATTTGACACAATGTATCGAAAGCCATTACACTTTTTTCTCTTTATAATAACATTTTCATATGTCACTTCAACTTCATCTTCAATAATCTAATTATCTAACTAAGGATTTTTTTAATCTGGCTTGGTTTCTATTTATTTTAAATCTATCTTATTGTCTATTTTCTATTTTGATTCATTATTTTTCCTTTACCATAAAACATCCTCAAATTCTTAATTTTAATCAGTGGTCTTTCTGAAGAAAAAATAAACCAAAAGCTAAACAGTACACAGAACACTTATTACTATAAAAGATGTTTTAGTGCTTGAAAATTGATTTAAACATGCTGAAATCGCAATACCTATTATTCCACCTATTTCATTTATAAGCATTAAAAAGCCAAACAATTTTCTCGCTCCATCAAATTAATTTACTGAGGCCTATTCAGTTTTTATTGTATTAGCTATGACAGTTACCATAGATAGAGTAAATGTATTTATGAATAAGATCAGAGTTATATAGGAAATATCTCTGGTAACCTCTAAAGCCATTAAGGCCATTGTGGCAATTTGTATAATCTAAAACAAAATCAAAAGTAGTTTCCATCTTGACTCAATCCATGTTATTTTGCCCAACAAAAATCCTAAAATTAGCTTGCCAATCAAAGCTAATTGTAGATATTAGTTAATGACCTGAATATCGCTTGGTTCTAAGTCTAGATTTGACCTCAATTCAACTTCAATAGTCTAGTTTCTCATTAATTTCAATCCCTCAACAAAAGTGTTTAAAGCAAGAATCGAAACCATCTTTTTGTCAAAATCATTCAAACTGCTCATTAATCTCTTGGATTAATAATAATATTTCGTGTCATTATTACTGTCCCTCGTACTTGCTTCACTATTTGACAAAAAACTCTGCTTTAGTATGAAGTGTTCATCTTCTTTTAGTAGGCAAACATGAGAATTTTCTTTATTAATTGTCATAACTACTTAAAAATTAAATATTTGTTCGTTAAAAAATATATCAGCTTTTATTTAATCCCAACATTAAATACCAAAATATTTTTAATCATGGGGTTTTGGGGTTTTGGGG